GGGACGGGACGGGACGGGACCCTTCGTTCTCCCCGCTTTCTTAGCGTTTTACGTTAAAAAAAAGTTTGAGGGAGACTTGGAGGAGGAGGAGCGGAAGGGGTTGCGGCTTCTCGGCCGGGTCTGGGGGATGGGATGGAAAGTTTTCCCGAAGGGAGGTGTGAGGGTAAAAGGGATAATGGGAAGGGAATAAGTGAGGTCTGCCGCCTCTCGAACGCCGGGGAGAAGGAGGAGGTGAAACGGCAGCGTTTCTGCCCCAGAAAGGAGGGTTTCTCTGTGGCTCCGGGACGTGTCGCGGGCTCTGCAGGGCCGGGAATAGCGGGAGGGGATATGGGATGGAAAGTTTTCCCGAAGGGAGGTGTGAGGGTAAAAGGGATAATGGGAAGGGAATAAGTGAGGTCTGCCGCCTCTCGAACGCCGGGGAGAAGGAGGAGGTGAAACGGCAGCGTTTCTGCCCCAGAAAGGAGGGTTTCTCTGTGGCTCCGGGACGTGTCGCGGGCTCTGCAGGGCCGGGAATAGCGGGAGGGGATGGGGAAGTGAGGAATTCCCGCAGCTTTCCCGGTGCCAGGCGGCCGCGCTTCGCTCCCCGGGCACGTGTCTCGAGTTCTGAGCTGCTTTGCTGCAGCCTTCAGCCCCTTTTTTTAAATTATTATTCTTTGTTTTTATTCATTTCCCTTGGGAAACGAGTGAAGTGGTTCGGAAGGCGCTCGCTCCGAGGCTCCGGCGAGAGCTGTTCGCTGGGTCTGTGAACCCAGTCAGGTGCTTTTTAAAACCGGGCTTTGAAACTCGCGACTTCAGCCCCGTTTTTCTCACTCGTCAAGGTTACAGGCCGCTTTTTCCTGGGTTAAGAAGTGAGGTGAAGTACGGCCCGGAGTAGTCAAGAGCTGACTAGTTATTTCCTGGTTTGATTTCTGCTCTCTGTGCCTTCTGTAGGATCAGTATCTCCTAGCAGAGTTGTTAAGCTCTTAACTCTTGGCTGTGGAAATGCAGAAGTAACCTCTTTTTTTCACTTGCAGTATAAAAAGACGAGGTAAAAATTCCCTTTCCCATAGGAAATAACTCCTTATTCTCACCACGTTCGGTTTATGGTTCTTTAATTTCGCGGGGTGTAGCTGCTGCTAGTCAGTTCACAACGGGATTATCCCTACGGACAATGAAATTATTCTTATGCACATCCAAACAAATATCACTGAATACCGGTTGCTGCAGCCGATCTCCTTCATTTGCATTTGTGAGTAAAAGGGTACGTGGTTATCCTTTACTGAGTAACTTTATTTTAGCTGAGTCTTCTCCCTGCTTGTTACTTGTAGTCTTAAAAGCTGTAATATTATTTTGTGAGAAGCCCTTTGTAGCCAGTCTCTTAATTTTGCTGGTGGTTTTGGTTTTATTTTACGTTCATTTTTCATGGTGTGTGTTTGCTTCCTTTCAAAAGTCACCAGGGAAACAATGGGTAGGTAAGGAGGACATAGCTTGCTAGCATTTGAAGTTCCTGAATAGGTGAAAGTGCAGAGCATACCTGAGCCCTTCCCTAAAAGAAATAAAATAAATCAAATGTAGCTGATAAATTAGCTTTCCACTGCAGCCTGTGCTGTTCTTTATATAAATGGGAAATCTCTCTAGTTTCACCTTCATGCTTCTAAGCCTGCTGCTGTCTTTCTCTGCCAGAACTTCATCCGTTGGAAGCAACCAGTGTTGCTTGTTCTGCATATTTTTACTGCTACTTAATTATAAAACAGCCTCTACATTACTTTCCCTGAAACATCTGGTTTTGTTTTGTGAGCAGAGCCCAAGTAGTCAGGTTTACTTAGAAACGTAATGTGTGTAATGACTGATGTTAAAAAGACCTAGTAATTTTACTTTTTTAGTCTTGAATGTTTTTCCAGACGGGAAGGATTTATTCTTTTATCTCCAAAGGGAGTCTTTGCAAATGACCTTACATATTTTTAAGCAGGCAAAAAAAAACAACCCCAGAGAATATCTTACGGATTTAATGTAGAACTGGCAGTAGGACCTTGGTTACTTCAATCAAAGAACTCGATTGAAATAAAGAAAATAATTACCAGTGTTCCTGAGAAAGCAACTGTGAAATATTAAGGAAGGTGTTGCTTTGATATTTGAAAATAACTTTGTGTTCGGTTTGTTTTGGGCAGACTTCCTAATCACCTGTTTGTTTGAAAGGTGCTTGTATTTACACTGTCTATGTGTGGGTCAGATCACTTCTGCTACCTGATAAGCTCTCTGCAAAATTTGAGGCATGTGTGTATGATAGCAGCTCTGACTGAGCTTTACAAGGCTCTGTGTAGAAAATTATCATTTTCTTGCTTTCAAGTTTAAGACCAAACTAGTGATCTGGGTTGGTTTTTTTGTAGTGGTAGTAGTTTTATTATTATTATTTTTTTAATTGTTACTAGAAGAAAATTCAATGTAGTGCTGTGTGGATCCTAGCAAGACTGTGAGTTTTGCAGCATTGAGCTATGATTTTTGAGAAGCACGTGGCTGTTTTAATTGTTCAGATGGAGGGAACAGGCTTCACAAATCGAGAGGATAAATGTGTATTTTTAAATAGCCTAATGGTTTAAATGTTGCCTGCATGACTCCAGGAGGATGTGGGAATTTGTGTGCTTTTCATTTTCTTCTCTGATATTTTTCCTGTGGTTCTTCCCTCCAGCTCAAGTTAGGGGGTGGAAGCAGGAAGGCATGGGTGCTTCAGTCTCTCAGTTTCTCACAAGGCAAGTGTAGTGTTCTGGGGACCTGCAGAAGCTGGAGAAGTCCAGAGGGCTGCAGTGGTCAGCTGGGTTACACTCAAAAGATCTCACTCCTTGGCATTTTTGTTTTAAGTGTGTAAATGAAGGAGTCTAAAACATGTATTTCCTAAAGATACTTGGCTGTAGTTCATAAACAGACTTATGTGGTGATGACCCACGACCCAGAAATATTTGGAGATAGGTATAATGGGGGTTTTTTTGGTTGATAGGTAAATAGGATCATTTAGAAAAGCAAAGGGGTCATACAGGCTAGTCAGCCTGATGCTGGGGGTCTGCAGCCCTTGCAGCTTGGATGCTGTTTGTGCAAGTGTGTCCTCCGTGGAGCTTCTATTATATTGATGGAAGTGCTTGTCATTGCCTGTTGTAGGGCAAACAAATATTAATGTACCAAAGCAATACCCTCCTAGGAGGACCGATGAGTCAATTTTCATGATGTTGAGAACGTGTTTTAAATAAAATGATTAAAATCTGCTTTTAAGGATGGTCTGGGATGGAACCTGATTGCAGAGTATCAGTGTCCCTTAGTGGAGAGGAAAAAGTCAAGACAAAGCATGTCTACTTTAAAAATGGGAGGTATTAATCCTGTGACAGGCAGCCTTGCAGTACATGACTAGAACTACCTAAAATAACACCTAGAGCCCATGTGTCGTAGGTAGCAGCGCAGTTATACCCTAAAGTTGCTGCATTCTGGGTTGCTTAAAAGGAATCTGCTTGTCAGGAAATTCCAGCTATTAAGAGTGTTATTTGTATAGCTTTTAAGAAAAACTATATTCTGGATTGATGACCGTTTAAAGTGATCAGGCGAATCAATACAGTTATTTGATTGCAACATTTAATGCTGGGGTTTTGAGTAGTATTTTGGGAGCATGTGGGAGTATTCACATGCTTGTGGGTCATACTCATGTGTACCAGAGAATGGGACTTGCAAAATCTTCTTGCAAGGGACTTCTGCTTGTAAAGATAATTTTTCATTTCATGTCCAGAAATTTACTTGCCGTGGCTAAGAGTTAATAAGATGCACAATTAAATACAGAGGAGTTAATAAGAAATACAATTAAATAAAGAGTCTTAATGGAGAAAACGGAATCTTATTTTCATTTGGTACCATAGAAAAAAAATAGCAAGGGATGCTTTTTCTAATAGGGTTAAGTCAGTCCCTTTAATGATTTCACAAAGGGCTGCAGCTGAGAATTCCTATGGTTGCTTTTCTCACTTGACACAGTATCTGCTGATTTGGATTTCACTGGTGTCTGAATGTGGCAAGAAGACTTCGTCCTGTGAAGTTTAATTGATCCATGTATTGATGCTACTTGCCCATGGACCATAAAATAAAGATATTTATATTTCAGTTCAGATAAGTAGGTACAAATAGATTGTGAAAGGAAACAGATCCTTTTCTTAGAAAAAAGTTGTCCCCAGTAGCAGGTCTGGGGAGTTAATTTCCTGCATCAGGACTTACTTTAGGGATATGCAAGCTCTTTAAAAAGCATGGGCAGTTTTTAATGTTGCAGGTACTAAGTTGGTGCAGGCTATCCAGACAGAACTGAAAGGACAGATTCTTAATGTCAGCAAAACTGATTTGAAAGAAGTATTGATCCCATGTTGTATTTTATATCCCAAGCAGCCAATGGCAAATGTTGTCAAAATGGAATCAAACGTTTGTAACTTAATACTTAAGAAAAATGATGAGCGCATGTTTTTGACTTTAAGTATCCTCTCTGCTGCCTGGCTTAAGACATAAACTGATGTAAAAATAAATGACTGCCTGCATAATTTATGTAATGTCTTGCTCCCTGATCCTGTTTGTATTGATTTTTCTAAAAGGCTTTTGTGGCCACAGGAACCAATCTATCTCTCCAGTTTTTTCCGGCCAGCTGGCAGGGGGAGCAGCGACAGACACCGACCCGGGAATATGTCGACTTTGAAAGAGAAGGAGGCAAGGTAAGCAGGAAATTGTTGTGACTGAAAGAAACTGTGATGTTGTGCTTATGATCTTACTAATTAGTATGGGCTGCTTGTATGATGCACAGCTACTAATACTTCACATCTCCGCACACGTAGGTAGGCACGTGTTTGGATGAGCTCTGGTATCGCTTTGTCTTAAAGCATGTGAATATTTTTGGAGGGAAACAGCCATGTTTGCATGGCTTTTTATAATTTTGAAGAACAGAACTTTGTTTCTACTTCCATGCTGTAGGAAAAAAAAAATATTTGGGGAGCAATTTAAGTTTAGTGTTGAGTAAGCTGCTTCTGCAATGGTTCAGGAACTAGATGTTGGCCAACAAATGGTGGGAGACAGTGAAAATTTACACTTTGAACAGGTTTCTTCCTTGGGTCTTAGGTTACCAACTACTATAGCAAACATTCAGTGTGCTGCTTAGTGGAATGAAGCTTTTAGCAACAGTATGGACTAACCATTGCTTTCAGAATTGATTTCTGAATCAGTTTTTTCAGAGGTGGTTGTCCCATGGACCGATAGATAAGGCACTGAGGGTTGTATGTGAAGCTGCTTTAGATTCAAAGTCAGAAACCTTGTTTAGTCTCATTGGAGTGAAGTTACTGAAATCACTTACAGCTGGTTTTGTTTTACAGGAAAAACATACCTTTCAAATGTAGATGGTGTGTCTTACCTGTGCTACTGTAAGTGCTTTGGGACTGGTCCAAAGATCACTCAATTCAATAGGAAACTTTTTGCAGACCTCAGTAGGTTTGGACCAATGCTTAAGTCCCCATAACCTCTCTGTTTCAGTCTAGTTTCTGTCTAAGTTTTTGACTTTAAAGATTTTTTAGTAGACTACAAAACTCTTGCTTTTACCTAAATTTATTTACCCACTCTTGTAACAACAGCTAATGTGACCCAGCCTACCAGAGTGAAGGAAATGCTAGAAGCATGTTCAGGTTTAATGGCATATTGGGTCTTTTAAATGCTGTTGGGTGGAACATGAATATTTCCTATAGTGGGAAAACTTGATTGGAAGAAGAAGTAATAATTCCTGAGGGGAGATATGGTGTTTGGAACTCAAGGTAGTGAGGCTTTTTGGGAAAAAAAAATCTTTTACATTTAGTCCTGTGAGGTTTGCAGAAGTTTGACAAATAGGGGGAGAAGGAGTGAAGTTGGCTGTGCTGGGTACTGACTGCTTTGCTAAGGAAACTGAATTGAATCTGGCTCTTATTGAAAAATATTGATTCTGGCTCACAATTGAATGAGGAATTTTTCTTGTAATGTGTAAGAAGACTGAAGTCTCTCTTTTTGCCAGTTCAAAACTAATTTTATTTACTCTTATGATTTTTTTAACTTTGTTTTCTCTGAATGAATTCTTAAAGTACTGAACTACTACATCCATTTTCTTGTGTTTTCCTAATCATGTATGAGCCTGGTGGATATACGCTGTGTGTAAAATAGAACATGAGCCTCATTAATGAGTGCCCCTCCCTCTTTTGTGTGTTTACAGTAAATTCTAGAGTGCTTCACTAAAACGTTGAGAAGAATTCATTTGCATGGAGGCTAGAGGTGGACAAGCTAATAAATGGGGGCGTTGTTAGGCTGGTCACCATTTAATCAAACTTTTCTGGGGTAAATCACATGTGAATTCAATGTGTGTGGCTTCAATTCTGCAGCGTGCAGAATGAAACTTGTCTGCCAGCAAGCCACTCCTGTGGCTGCAGGAGAGGAGTGAGCAGAATGTGAGTGTTCCTTATGTTATCAACAGAAGCAGCTGAGTGTTTCAGATGAATTGTCTTGAGATTTTTGTCCTCTGTAGGCTTTTCGTTGTTCAGTTTCATTAAGAATTTCTTTCAGAGGCTTCAGCAGCCTCTTAACACCATGTGACTTTTGTAGCTCTGTGCAACATTGTTTTATGAGCTTTGATTCTTGAGGCAGTGCATAATGTGTGTTTGTTCATCCCTGGGCTTAAGCCAGCAAGGCATGTTTTTAATTATATGAATAAAAAAAGGCTGTGGAGGGAGCTGTCAGTTAATTATTATTTTAGGCATTAGTTTGAGATCTAGAATGTAGATAACTTACCAGGGCTAAAATATTTTTATTCTGGAATTCTGCTTCGGTGCTTGGCTGAGCAAATAGTGGCCCAAAAATAGTTTATCCAGACTTGAAGTGTGTCACTATTGTGTCTAAGCATTTTTGTGCACAGATTGACAAAAAGCCCTGTGCAGCATCTGCTAGAATTGCTGCTTAAATGGTTGAGATTTAGCCAGAGCAAGACCCTTGTGAATCCATGTGAAAGTTGGGATTCTGTGACTATCTACTTAAAGAGCCTTGAGGTTTTTTCATTCTGGTATTTCTGGACTGAGGGTTTTCTCCTGTGCTTCATTTGCTTCTTAATTTGATGCATCTGATGTTCAGGATGAGTGAGTAGGCCTCTGTTGGATACTCTGTCTCCATGAATTCAGGAATTGGGTATCTCTGTGTTCACTTAATGTTTCTATCCCTTTTAAACTCAAGCCTAACATTTTTTTATTTTTTTTTGGAGATCGTTTTTACATTCTGTGCTTTGACCTGTAGCAAATTTAATTGTGTATTTGAGCAATTTTTCAGGTTTGTCATAGCCAAAGAAAAAGTCACACTAAAAATAGATCCCTAGTCATAGAACGTTGTATTTCATTGTGATTGTGAGGGTGTGTGGGTTGTGTCAGGTTTGCTGTGTGTGTCCTGTTTCTGGAGAGCTGAACCATAACCAAGGCTTCCTCAGCCTTGGCGTTGCCATCTAATGTCCAGCTCTTTTTTAATTTTTCATTTTAAAAATATAAATGAATAGATAGAAATTCAGAGACAGTGTAGAAGTGTAATGTGTTGCCTGTAATCTCACATAATTGAATGCTGGAATGAAATAGCTTCATTTTCACCTGGGTTCTCTGGTATTGTGACTTAGTCAGACTGGTTTTATTGTGCTTGATGAAGGTCTCTCATTTTCCCTTCAGTTTTTTTCTGTGAACTTCAGGCTGAACTGTGTCTTCAGGGACTCTAGTGCTTCTTAAAATCTAATTTGACTGAAGGCCCCTTCGTTTTGTGGAGAACCTTGTGATCAGTTTCCTCTGCATGATTCGCTTTGTATACTTTTTACAGTAAGATAAAATGTCTTCATTTGTCACTTGAGATGTTTATGTAGCTCTGGCCTTTCTTACCTGTAAGAACATTCGCTCTTGGGTAACTTTTTTTATTGTTTAAATACCAGTTGCTACTCTGAAGTGTGTGAAGTTGTTTTACTTCCCCTCCCCTTCATAATACTATTCTCCATCTCATTTTTAGTGCAGCTTAACTTCCTGTCTGCTGTTTGGCAGCAGCTGCTCATAAACCAGAATCTTCAGCACAGGCTTATTTCGCTGTAATGCACTGGGAGCTCCGCAGCTCAGGAGGAAAGCACATCAGACAGATTTTAAATTGATTCAGAGTGCCTGGCATGCCACATGTGGGATGTAGCTAGGATTTCTACTCACTAAACTTGGTTCTAGCTATAGCTGAATATTTCTGAGCCTCAGTTTTCTTCCTAAAGATCTTGACTTTCTCCTCATGTGCAGCTTTTTTAACTAAGAAGCTCCATTTGGCTGTTAGGTGATGTTAAGGGCTTGGATGAATCTTAAAAACTAAGGCTTTCTGTTATGTCTGCAGACTTTATGTAATGAGAAAGGTGCTGTATTTGAATAAAAACTGCCTTTTAAGGCAGCCAACAACATCAGTTCTCCACTTGTGTCCTTCTTTTTCACTAGAGGTTTGATAGATATGGCTTGTCTGGAGATCAACTTGTCTGACGTTAGCGATACAATTTCATAATGGTTGGGATGGTTTATTGGCTGCTGCATTTTTCTGAGAAAATGCAACTTCCAGTCACACGTGGGATCACTGTGTACCCGGTGGAATTTGCTTGCAAAGTGGAGGCTTAATTTGTGAAAAATATTAGTGCCAGCCTGTACGGAGTGGGAAGTTTTATTCTTTGGTCCCCGCTGCTTTCTGAAGAGTTTAGAAGAAACATTTAAGTCATTCAGACAAAACTGGGAGTAGCAGCTTTCTTTTTTTCTTTCTTCAGGTACCCTTAAAAAAAAAAAAAGGTAAGCATGTCTTGGAAACTGATTTCTAGTTTCAGCTGTCATTTTATATTCCTTAACTCCCTATGTTTTCAGTCCAGCAGTATTTGGTTTTTTTGCATTGTCACCATCTAAAATAGTCTTACAGCAATATGTGTTCCCTGCAGTCTGCTCTGGACAAAAAGGATTTGAGTTTGTTTTCCAGATCAGTGGAAAAGGATGTCTGATATTAGGGATTTAGGGGGGGGAAAAAAAGGTGTGCTGGGGCTGTAATATTAGTGAAAGATCATACTGTGGTTTGCCACCACACAGGGTGAACCACCTCAGCCACGGGCTGCATGTGGTCTTAACAGTTATGATGGCTTCACCCTTTAATTTGTCTGCAGTAATTTAATGCTCCTTCAAATTATTCTGAAGGTCTCTGTTTAAAGCACTTCATGAGACAGTGCTGCCACCCTGAAGAGTGGGTGGTAGCAACCTAATCATCTCTGTCACCTCACAGGACTTAGTGGAGCTGTCTGTGTGTGATGGAGGCATATGGGCATGTAAGATGTAACTTAGAAAACTAGCAAATGTCAGCCATGGTACCATGGATGTTCTTTGTGGATCATCTCAGTATGTGAGGGCATCTAGTGAGACATTGTTTCCCAGGAGCTGTCCTGTTCATAAATGCTTTCCCTTGCAGAACAGTCTTGTTGCTCACAGATCTGCACTCGAGCTGTGGTTCATTGCATAGCTCTGTAGAGTCCTTGACTGATTTCTAGGCTAGTCCCTTACTGCTCTGGTAGGTTAGGGTAAGGGTATCTTGGGGTCAAACTTATCATATTCATTTGTTGCTCTCTCCCTTTATGCCAGCAGAATGTCGCAGAATTCCTCTTCTGGCTTAGTTCCAGCTTATTTCAGGA